TAGTGTCTCACTGAGACATAAAGACTAGAGGTAGTGTCTCACTGAGACATAAAGACTAGTGTTCAGATTGTAGTTTGTTAGTTCAGTGGGTCAGACTCACAGTAAACGTTCCGTAGTGATTTCAAACATATCTGATATTAAACAGCTTCATATCCAGAGTCTGAAGTTGAAGCTAATGTCAGCGGAACCTTTTCATTTAAGCCAGAATTAGTTTAGCTACTTTTATGGAATAACCCTCTGGAGGACCAGTGGAATAAATGATGGAAAGATTTGATGACATCAGGTTCTAATCTCACTGGAAAACAGAGACCACAGAAATCTGCCACTGAAACGACTGTGACCTTTGACAGTGGTTGTTATGATGTATTATTATTTAGTGGCTGTTAGTGGTACTGTAACTTTTATCATCATATCAAACTGTGGCACTTGACCTACATGAGTTGTTTATCTCACCTGTGCTCTCTGGCGGCCCCTTTCTTTGATTTTCTTCAGCTCCACCACTGCTTCCTCCTCTTCCTCTTCCTCCTCCTCCTCCTGAGTGACTGGGCGAGCCACAGTCTTCTCTGTTATTGGCTGGATGGTGGCCAGGAGGGCAGGGACAGTGAAGAGTGACAGGAAGCGGGCCTTCAACAACTGGTAGGCGGGGTTACTAGAGAAACACTCTGTCACAAGCTCACGCACTGCTGCCACAAGGACCTCCTCCTCCTGCAGGACGTCAGAGCTGACAGAGGGAGCTGCTGGGAGACACAACAAACATCTGAGAACACACCTGAGGACACGCCTGACTATGGTTGTGATGATAAACGCATTACTGCAATACCATGATCATGTGATGGCTACCGTGAAGTTGAGCCCATTACCGTCATCGCTGCAAAAAGGTTTCTTTTTTTTTGCTAGAGAAAGTTACAGGACTGCATATGCAAGGTTTTCCTGGCTGAAAATCAAGCGGTTGGTACTGAGCTATCAGACCCCAGGGGGTGGGGTGGGTATACCAAGCCAGGGTACCGGGGCAGACACCAAGGGAGTCATACACTGCTCCACTTCCCCAGGCACGGTGCTTGGGCACAGACCACCGGACCCTGGACAGATCCACCATCAAGATCAACCATCAAATCATCACAGTCCCAGCACATACCTGTCAGATGAGTGTTACCTGGTTGCTCGCCTGGTCTGAGGTCAGAGGTGGAGTCCGGCAGGTCGGGTGGAAGCTGACTGGAGGTTTTTCCTGAACTGTTGTCAGACACGATTTTGTTTTGGCAGTGCCAAGGTTCAGAGTCTTGACGCAGCAGCTGCAGAGATGATTTGGTCAGAGACTTTTTGACCTGAAGCAGTGCACTGAGCGTGCTCAGAGTGCTGACAAATGGCGGCAGGTAGGGTAGAGCCACGCCTGCTCCTGGTACTACCACCCCTCCCCGCCCACTCAGCCAATCACGCACTGCTTCCTGAGGCTCCAGGAAAATCAGTGAGGGATTGAACTGAAGAGCCTCCCTCCTGAGGGGAGGTGGCTCAGCCTCATCCACTCTGACTGCACCCTTATAGGGCAGGAACATTTTGGGGGGAGGCTGAGGGTTACAGGAGGGGAGGGGGAGCAAACCTGGGCTTGGGACAGGTTGTAAGGGCTTAGAGGGATGAGTGGGTGGAGCAGGGAGATGTCTGGGGATAGTCAGGGCATATGGTACAGGTGGTGGTTGGAATCTCAGAGGAGGCTTGGCCAGTTGGGTTCTTGGAATATTTCCAGGTGTAGGTGAAAAGTAGGGGTTCGGCACTAACGCCTGCTGATGGGGTTGGGGCTGAGCTTGTGCCAGCTGGACCAGCCCTCCGGGAGTCATGACCCATATCGACTGACCAGGAAGTAAATGCAGTGTGGAATGCTCAGGCTGATCAACAGTTTCCTCTTTAGAGCGAGAAGTATGAGGGCGTGTATTACAAGGAGAAGACTTCCTCTTCTTTTTTGCTTTGTCCTGGAAACAAAAGACAGGAATTAAACAGGGGAGGACATGTGAGGACAAGATGGACAAATATGAGGCAACAGATCAAACCTTGGCTTCAGTTGCTTTCTGCAGCTCCCTGGCCTTCTGACTTAGCTTCCGAACCCTTTTTTGTTCCTGGGTTGCACCTGTATTGGCCTGGGCCCTGGGGTCACCTGTCCCATCTGAACATTGGACAACCTGACTGCTCGTCACCCCATCCTGCTCCTGCTGCCTCCTTCGTTTTCTTCCTCTGCTGGGATTTTTGGGGGGTCTCTCTGATACGGGGTCAGATTTACAGTGCATGGGGTCTGGCTGTTTGGGGACAGGGCTTGGTAGACTTAGGGGAGGGTTCGGTTGAATAAAATAGTCATGGTCCCTGTGGAGAGAAGCAGGGTGGGTGGCGAGGTTCGGGAGAATGAAGGGAACAGCTTGTTGATTGGCCAGTGTTGAACCAACAGAAACAGCTGGGTTAGGGGAAGAGGACTGGTCAACTCTGAAGCTCTGAGTCAATGGTACAGTCTGTTGGTGGATTGAGGTGGAGCCAGGAGAAGGAGGAGATGAAGAGGTGTCGATGCCCACGGGAGGACGTTGGCATGGAGACGAATGGGATGTGTCGAGGGAGGAGGGAGCAAGAGGTTTCTGAGGTTGAAGAACAGGATGAGGAATGAAGACACTCTGAGGAAATGACAGAGGAGACATCTGAGGAAGACCAGGAAGATTCTGATAAGGGAGGCGAGGAGTAAGAGTCTGAGGGGGAAGATTCTGAAGTTGGTGCAGATGATCTAATTGTTGTGTACTGAATGGTTGTCTGAGCATCATTTGTTGTTGTTGCAGAGTGTTAAGCTGCTTCAGGATCAGTTTGTGCTGCAGCTCTAACTCCTGCTGCTTCTCCCTCTGCTGCAGGATTTCTGCGACAGTGCGTGGATCCTTCCTGTGGACGGACAAAGGATCAGGGAGCGGAGTTGAAAACACCACTTTCTTCTTCCTCTGCTCTATCATCTCCCTGCACCCGATGACGTCCACGTTCATGGTCTGCAGCAGCAGCTGGAAAACAGGAGTGGAGGAGAGCTGGGTTTTCTCTCCTTGTTCCCTCAGGGCGTCAGCCACCGTCAGTCTGGTTTGAGTCGGGATCAACAGGTTACCAATCCAGGGCACCACGGCAGCCTGGAGCTTGTACCTCAGTACCATGTCCATTGATCGGCCCATCTGTTTCCCTTTCGGCCGGAAGCCCTTTTTTTTCCACTCAGCTGCCTGGCAGTGCAGGTGGGCTTGGAGCTGGTCAGGTGACACCATCCTCATGGTGCTGCTTCTGTGACGCTCCTCCCACTGCAACTCTGGTGGATTTGGTCCAATGATCACAGAGTGTCCGAACTTACCCACGATGGTAGAGCGGACTGGCTTCCCTCTGTGGCCATCGGAGGAAGAAGGTACAGACACAGGACTAAAGCTCAGAAAGGAGAAATGTTCTGCTTTATCATCTGGAATCCACTCAGTCATCGGAGGGCAGGTGTACTCCTCCACCTCCTCCTCTACATCTGCAATTCTATCCACTTCTACAACCTCGTCCTTCTCCTCCTCCTTCATCTTCTTCTCATCATCATCATCACTGTCCATGTACACCACCACCATCTCCTCCTCCTCCTGCTCCTCCTCACTGCTCATCTCCTCCTCCTTCACTTTCCTCCTGATGTTCACCTTCTTCCTCTTCTTTCCATTTGGACTTGTTTGTGGGTTTTTAGCTTCTCTATTTTTCTGTTGACACAGAGTTACATCAGTCAGTCGGTTCTCATGTATGTGGAATGTTCAGTGGAGGAACCAGACAGGGTTCCCTCAGTATATCCCTTATAACCTGGAGACTTTCATTCTTCCCTGACATTAATCAGGTTTTTTTTACTTAATACATTTTCTCTTGACTGGAGTCACCCAAGGAACTTATTATTTTACTTATTGTAAGTGGCTTTGGATGACGGTGTCAGCTATATGTATTGTAACGGAACCACACTGTGAATCGAGTTTCAGCGTCAGTGAGCACAGGTGTGAATCACCTGAGCAGGACGAAGTCTCTTTCTGCTCAGTTTCCTCCATTCTCTCAGACACTGAGCGTCGTAACGATGAGGAATCTCCGCTGCAATCTTTGCCCAGCGACCTGACACATAGATGGACATTTATCATGAGGGGATGTTGAAGACACTGGACATGACTACAATGCCCATAAACCTCAGCACCAGGCTCTATGTAAATGTGTGAGACTCACCAACGCCATATTTCTCGACCAGCTGCAACAGCAGCTCCTGCTCCTGTTTGTCGAATGCTCCTCGCTTCGTCCCCGACTTCAGACAGTCATGATACCTGCACATGCACATCACATGAGGAGGAGAGATCAAACACATTCTGTCTCTCTGATCCTTCATCCAATCAGGACTCACCTATCCCTGCAGGCGCTGTCAGTTCGTCCAGGAACCTCCAAACGGATCTTCCACCAGTTCTTCTCCCCATGACGTGAGACAGCTCGCAACAAGAGCTGAGAGACAGACAAGCAAACAGTTTGAGGTGATTATGTCTCTGATAACTGTCCACAAGGAGGACACTTTTTATGATGTTTCCTGGGGACAGGTATTTGTTAAGCTCAGCCAAGTGCTCACCTGGTCTTCCTGTTTGGTCCACAGGCCTTTCTTCAGGCTCGGGTCCAGAACCTGGTTCCACCTGTAGATCAGCTGAGGGGGGTCACGACCCTCCATGAAGTAACTCACTGAAAGACAGACAGGTGGACAGACAGACCATCAGTGAGACGGAGAGATGTGATGTCACAGTGATGTCACAGTGGTGTCATTACTCTGAGTGTAGGGGATAAAGTTTCCAATCCTCATCTTGTCCACCAGCTCCCGGAGAAGAGCGTCTTCACAAGGCGTCCAACTGCCTCGTCGCAACGAGTCTGACACGAAACGCTGGAAAGTCTGAAGACACATGAAGGCTGTCCTCTCCGTCTTAGAGACAGACAGACAGAAAGGTGAGAGAGACAAACAGACAGGAGAGACGGAAAGGCAGGTGAGAGACAGAAAGGTTAGAATGACAAGCTGGTCCTAACCCCCAGCTCCTCAGCGATCTTCTTCCAGTGTCTCTCTCGGTGTCTCTTGCTGATGTCCCTCAGCTGCTCCACCTCCTCCTGACTCCACCCAATCTTCCTGATTGAGGGGTGAAGAAAGTTCTGCCAGAAGCACCGGATGTCGTCGGCCTCCCGCGTCCCTTCAAACTGACCAGAGAGGACACGTTGTTACTGGCAGGCTGATGTTTGTTTCATCGTCAACATGTGACTAGTTGATTCTCAGATTTACATCAATGTTGGAGATTTTTTCCCAATCATGTTCCTCATATCGATCACCAATCAGCTCCTCCTCCTTCTTCGTCCTGACCAATCACAGAGAATGACATGGTCAGTGAGACATGTCAAACATCATAACTCATGCAGTTATATATGTACACTCTGAACCCAGACCCTGACATATACCAGACCTGCACCTGGATCCAGAACATGACACAGACCAGGACACAGACCAGGACATGTACCAGACCTGGACCTGGATCCAGA